ATTTTGACGTTTTTTTTGCAGATAACAACGATGTTTTATATATGGGATATGAATAAAAATGTTATGAGAAAGCTTCTTAGATATTTTCCACATCCAAAATTTGCCTTTTCAAGTGTCCTCAAGGAGTTTTTCTCATGCAAGTAGCTAGTGTTAATGCTTTCTGAGTGGACAAGAAAGCGCTCAAACAGAACATGCGATTGGGCCGATTAAACGTAGTTTCGGAATTTGTTATCATTTTTGGATGTGGACGTGAGTGGCCATGTGGTTAGAGCGTTCTCGAGCATATACGAATGACTCACATTCACACCGATGCTCACCTCACATCGATACATTCTTATTTTACCCGAAATATTGTAAAACTTAACTTACGTTTTAACCTCGCTGTTAAGAAATGATTTGTATCATTCTGTTGTTCAATATGTTTTTGTACGCACAAAGCAAAAGTTTCGTTACTATTGATCATAGATTTAATGTCTGAATCATTCATTATTGACACTAATATTATATAAGCTTCGTCTTCTAAACCAATTAAATTCTGAAACAATTCTTGATGTTGTTGAACACATTGGAAAATCATTTGATTATTATTAATCAAAGTTAACAAAAGGCGAAGAATGCTTTTAATCATCGAATAAATTTCTTCGAAAATTGATTGTTTACTTATCATCGCCAATAAAGTATACGTTATTGGAACTAGTAGACTATTATTTGTAAATATTGTTGAACTACATAGTGCAAAACTATGATTTAGTAAATCAAGTAAATGAGTAACATGTTTTGAAGGTTTTAATTGTAATAAACGATTTGAAGATGGTAATAGCGCATTTAATAATATATTAGCTGTCTCTTCTTTATCTGAACCTAAATAAATAGTAGTCAGTTAACTTCCAAATGTTGTCGGAACTCTCTATCATACCTGAGTAAGCGATCCAGTACTTTGGACATGTTATTAAGAGAAATTCTTCATTTTCTATTCTTTCGATTATTTTAACATAATACTTTGAACACCAACATTTTACAATTGCATTTATAATTTTTTGATTTTGTGTATAAAGACTAACTAATTTTGAGAAATATTTCATGTTGTTTTTATCATATAAATGTTTTCCATGTTTTGCAATATCTTTCAGACATGTTTTAATTGGTGGAATTAATTTTTCTGGATGTATTTCTATTTTGAAAAGAATTTCAATTATATGACAAAATATAAATGATTCCATTTCAGGCAGATAATAACTTTTATGCCATTTATTACATATATGTTCCAATAAATCGATAAGTAGAGAATAAAATTTATGATTAATAATCAATGGATCCGTCAAAATGATCACATTAATATTTTGCAATATATCAAGAATATTAATTAAATGACCAATAGACTCGATTAATGATGAAAATTGATTGAAATCATCAAAAATTTGTTTTAATTTATGTACTGTTATTGTTTGTAGTTCTGCTAAGCTAAAATCAATTCAAGACAAAGCAATGACTTAAATTATATTTTTTGTTTTTGTGAATATTCTTTATTTATTTGTTACGTTCAAGCATGCTCACAATGATAAACGAATCAAAAGCAGAGGAAAAGAGATAAGAAACAGAAATAAATAGCATGTAAGTGGAATGATTTGGTTTTATCAGGGGAATATGGAGGAGGAACTAGTCGCTGCTCGCTTATCTCAGTG